ATGATCATAGCACAATCGGCAAGACTTCAAATGGGATCTTCATTACATATCACACTGGTTGCAAGCCCTTATCTTTATACGTTCTTGATTGATGTGACCATTCATTAGCACACACATGCATAAAGCAAAAAAAACAAAAAACATTTTTACTTGATAGAGTGATAATAAAAATTTATTTACAAATCCAACCAAGTGGAGTTTTTTTAGTGAAAAGAATGGATGAATGAAGAAGAACAGAGAAGGAAATTTGTGAAGCTTGAAAGTGTGACGGGGACTGGCACGGTAAAAACAATCAGCCGTAATAAGCTGGAGAGGAATGAATAAATAAATAACCATTGATTACATCAGTCATATCTTACCAATCATCACCAGGCTCTGTTGGGTTAATACAGTTTATGTATTAACCTAAAAGGCCTTGTAACTGCTGCAGTGTTTTGCAAATAATTAGACATTTCCAAACACTGATCTAATCAATGGAGTAACTGACAAAACTAATTTTTTTATAATAATAAAAATTACCTAAAAAGATTCCTAAACCTGTTTTGAGCAGAGTAAAGAAGTCAAAAGATAATAGCAGCAAAGAAAGGAAATTTAAACCCTCACCGCCTGCAAAGGGGGTGATATAATTACGCCTAGGCGGTTTCCAATAATTCTGTAACTACGGTGATTAACGTGATCTATAGAGGGTACCACTGATACTGGCACCTTGTTTGTTCTACTATGCGATGTAGAAATTACCGAGCACCATGAAAAGAAAAAAAACAAAAAACAATCTCCCGCTTTGCATTAAGTGAGGGGCACCATCAACTTCTTTCCTTCCTTTACCCATCATACTTTGCTTAACTCTCAGCATTGTGGGAGAAGCCAAGGATAGTTCGGAATAAGGTAAGATGAAAGAAGTTATTTGTTTTATGTACACAATTCTTTTTTACTTACACAAATCATAGTTACATAAAGTTCATACAAAAAAAATCTGCCAAACGTAAAGATTATTTGGCATTTTGTAACATGTTTGAACGAAATCTCGTTCTCACAACTGCTCTCAATAAATTTGCATTACATTTTTCGGTTTCAGTAATGTTAGCAGAAGACAAGTAAAGCAATTTTAACAATCCCTTTGAAACGTTAATAACTAACATTGTCATAATTACAGAAATTCATTTTTTTTTTATCTTTTATTTGTTTTGTAGATTCAACTGTGTATGCGTAACGTGAGTGAATATACAAGCTATACAACGGTTGTCAATTTAATATCTCTTGAAATTCTGGGATTGAACAATCCAATGCAAATAGAAAACTGAATGGCATACATAGCCATTGCAAAAATAAAATAATCCAAAAAGGATAGTGATGGGAAATGCTGCTCCATGGAAAGATTCAGTAAAAAAACAAAAAAAATTCAAACTCTTGCATGCCACATTATGTGCTGCCCTCTTCAGTTGTGAAGTTGCACCAATCTAGAAATTAACAACCAAGCAAAGTTCAAATAGTTGTTGAATGAATATTATTACCTGACTGAAATGGGGACATATTTGTGAACGTGGAGTCACGTCTTCAAAGCAGTGCAGTCATGTATATTGAGGTCATGTGACCTTGTCGGTTGTGTGACCAGCAATAGTGCATGACGAGCAATGCATTCAATATCAAAACGACTATACATGATTTTTGGTGTAGCATGGGGTACAAGTTTTAATGTAGATTGTAGAAATGTTCTCCATGGACACATAGATGTTTATTTCACAACCACGTTTCAGAGTTTCTTAAGATTTGGTATTTTGAAGGCTCCAAATTTCAAGAACAAAACTGTCAAAAATACCTTCAAAACTTCAAAGGAATTGATCAAACATTTTGAAAGGAACTAAGGAAGTCAGGCAAAGTACCCAATGATCATCGCTGATATAGCTCTGGTGAATTTTGAGATCTGCCATTTTGAAAATGTCACAATATGTGGTGGGTCCATTTGTCATCATAAACGTTTTTTTTCTCCTGTTGCCATGGAAATCTCAGAGATGAAACAAAATATAATTTCCATAGGAATCAATGTAAATGACCGAGGTAGTCGCATTTTGGAATGCTGATCATCTCAGAAATTTCCACAGTGGGCCGATAAGAGCAAATTAAATTTAAAGAACATATTGAAAGGGTGTGGGGAAAAGAAAACCACCCATACATTTTCTGTCAACAATATGCCACGGTTGCCAGGTAACTTTGCTTGGTAGCTTCTTTGCTCATCAATTTAGTTGCACTGTTCCATCACTATTTCTAATCATACAAGTAAATTTCCAAACGCAAAAATGACAAACTACTATTCACATTAGAAAACTAGCCAAACCCCCTACACATAAATAGAACAGTCCTATGAATTGCTTGCAATGGTGGCACTTCAGTTTATGTAATACTGTTTGTGAGAGAATCACGATTAAAAATAGTTACCACAAAACTGGTCTCGAAATAGAGGAAACCAAGAAAGCCATACGTCCATGAAGGTCTAACTGAATCTAACCAAAATACTGGTAGAAAAATTAAGATTTCTATCACACAACTTACGAATTAGAAAATTTATCACAGCAATTTAAAACAACCTTGGCACATGTCGGAAGGAATACGTTTCTACGAGTAAATCGGCAGTGTCACATGATGGCTTTGTTTTCAATATGGCAGTTTGAAGCCTTCGTTATGTAACACAGACAAAAAATGGCAGCAAATGTACACATGATAGAAAACTATAAAGTTTGGACATAAAATAAATCCTTCCCAAAATGGCCACCACACCACGGAGCAGTTTTTCCCACCAGAAACGTAATACAAAATATGAAATGAATATATTATTAACAAAACAGCTATCTTATTCTACCGATATAAACACTTTGAAAAAAAAAAATAGTTTTAAATCAAATTTTGTACTAACTTATGTGAATATAAACGTTTCTTTTAATAAAAGAAATATGTATAGAAGCAGTACATTTAATTTAATTTCTAAATTCTACTCTTTTTCCCACAAAAGCCATGAACTTTTTTTATACTCTACATGTTTCTACCTAATTCTTACAACCAATAATGTTTGAGCTAAATCCTAAATGTTGTATACTATATACATGTGTAGGGGCCTCAAGGCCAAAAATCTGAATAATTTATGTTAAATTAATGGGCTCGTAAGTGAGCTAATGGATATCACCTAGCGAACTACTTGTACTTACGATATTGCTCAAACGACATGAAAAGTTTACAACTGTTACGTCAAAGTTTGCACTAATGTTGGTCAAAAATTCACCAAATCCGGTATTACTTTTGAGGAAAAAACTTTTTGCACAAACACATGCTGAAAGTGCCTGACATGATACAAATAGGTTGTCATGGCAATGCTCAAACAAAGAAAAGAAAAAAAAACTTTTTTCATTTGATTTAAGCAACCATGACACAGAGTACTACAGAATGTTATAGGATAAATACAAAGATTCTATCTATCTAGTAATGCTTCAACGGACATCGAATCCTGGTTCAGTTTAGCGGTCTAGATAACTATATTGACTGCTGTAAGTTCGACAGACAGCAACCCCATAATTTCAAATCACAACAATTAATCTAAACTTTTTTTTCTTTGACGATACATGATCTTGACACGAAATAACAAATTGTAGTGTTTTCTTTTCTTTTTGATTTTGTTCTAGAATCAATGCGACCATGCAGTAGCCAGAGAGAAACTACACACACATGCACGCACACACTCACACACATAGAACATGAAGATATAGTGTTGTACCAGACAGGCAACAGGCATGTGAAAAATGAGCCGAATCAATGCATAGATGAACAATCAATTATAACCAGAATGTATTGAATTAGAATAAACAAAAACAACGTGTAATGCAGTATGACTGGCTGCCTATCTGCATTTTGTAAACATATTAATAGATTAAAAGAAAACACAATGGTAAGGTGGTCATTCAGCAATTGTTGTCAACCACTTTAATAATAAATTATATAAGAAATATTAATGGTAGAAAAAGTAAAATGGCAGGCTGTACCCGAAGTTTTGGTAAATTAATAAAAAAAATTAAACTGTGTTGAAAATTTTGCCCAGCAAAATGAGGGTCCATGTTCAGCTAGCAATACAGTATCA